TTTATATACTGATCTAACCTGAAACTTTGGTGAATCAATTATAAGCTGTAATAGCTTTTCTATATTATTTTGGGGTTTCTGTTACAAAGGTCTATGAACATTTTTATTTCTTCATTTCCATTATCTAGATATTTCTGTTTTTTTTCTTTCCTGTTTGCCCTTCCTAGAACTTCCTGTGTAACACTGAATTTAAGTAGTGAGAACATTTATCTTGCTTCTGACCTTGTTTTAGCTGTGGCTTTTGATAGATGCCTTTTATCAGGCTGAACAAGTTTTGCATTTAGTTTTATTTTTTAGTTGTTAATTTTTAAAATTAAATGTCTAGATTATCATTGTTATGACTTTAACAGGACTTTGGTTTATCTATTAGTGTTGTGTTGTACTTTGTTTTCTTTGTGACAGGGTCTCCCTATATCATCCAGACTAGCCTAAACTCATGATTCATCCCCTCCCCTCCTTTCCCTCCACTCCCCTCTCCTCCCCTTCCCTTTCTCTACCTTCCATTCTTTCTTCCCTTCCTCTCTTGTCCCTTTCCTTAAGATTAGAGAAGACTTAAAGTATCATATGTGGAAAACCATTCGTATTGCTATAAATATCCCATCATATCCACCATGTATAACATATAACAAGGGAAATATATTAAAGATAAGGTCCAAGGACTAAGTTGGAGTAATAAGTTTCATATGCAATTTTCCCTTTTTTCTGCATCTAAAGTACCAGGATCTGTTAAGTTTTCCTAAAGTTACTAGAAGGGTTCTGTGAAACAAAACACTCAGTTTTCTAGTCCACTATTACGATGTCTTCTTTTTTTTGCCCAATTTGTTTCTCTGATGTGGTACAAATTGGTGGCACCAAAGAATCATGTGATAGCAGTGTCAGAAGACCTAGGTTTGTGTAATGTAGAAGAAACATCTGGATTGAGGCCTAGGACAGAAGCCAAATATCAGGGCCAGTCACGTACTCTTAGGGGAGGAAGTAAGGGTATAAACTGGGAAAAGAAGACTGTTAGGTCAGAATCTGGAAAA